CCTGGAGGGCTGCGATCTGTGAAACTGCCGCCACTGTCGAGGCCTGCTGGCCCCACTGGGGGGCCCAGCCCAGTGGGTACCCACGGCGGACTCAAATTGGACCTCGCCATCCCTGGGGGGCTGCGATCTGTGAAACTGTCGCCACTTTCGAGGCCTGCTGGGGGGCCCAGCACAGAGGGTACCCACGGCGGGTTCAAATGGGACCTCGCCATCCCTGGGGGGCTGCGATCTGTGAAACTGTCGCCACTTTCGAGGCCTGCTGGGGGGCCCAGCACAGTGGGTACCCACGGCGGATTCAAATGGGACCTCGCCATCCCTGGGGGGCTGCGATCTGTGAAACTGTCGCCACTTTCGAGGCCTGCTGGGGGGCCCAGCGCAGTGGGTACCCACGGCGGACTCAAATGGGACCTCGCCATCCCTGGGGGGCTGCGATCTGTGAAACTGTCGCCACTTTCGAGGCCTGCTGGGGGGGCCCAGCACAGTGGGTACCCACGGCGGACTCAAATGGGACCTCGCCATCCCTGGGGGGCTGCGATCTGTGAAACTGTCGCCACTTTCGAGGCCTGCCGGGGCCACGAAACGTGTGAGGGGTGTGCCGAAACGGGTGGCGAGGGTGGATGCGGACGGTGCCTTGAGACATTCGGTGGAGCTCCCTTGTGGGGACACGGGATGCGTGAGGGTTGTGCCGAAGTGGGTGGTGGGGACGCATGCGCATGGTGCCATTGTGACCTTCGGTGGAGCTCCTTGCGGGGACACGAAATGTATGAGGGGTGAACCGAAATATGTGGCGGGGACGCATGCGCACGGCGCCACCGGACCTGCGGTGGAGCTCCTTTTTGCGGCCACGAACAGTGTGGGGAGTGTGCCGACATTGGTGTTGGGGACGCATGCGAATTGCCCCATTGGGACCTTCGTTGGAACGCCCGATGGGACCACGAAGCGTGTGACTGGTGAGCCGTAATGTGTGGCGGGAACGCATGCGGATGGTGCCACTGGGACCTTCGGTGGAGCTCCCGATGGGTGAACAGATCGTATGAGGGCTGTGCCGAAATTGATGGCGGGGGCGCATGCGGATGGTGCCACTGGGACCCTCGGTGAAGCTCCTTATGGGGCCACGATACGTGTGAGGGGTGTACCGAAGTAGGAGGTGGGGACACATGCGGATGGTGCCACCGGGACCTCCAGTGGGTCCCTGACATGGACCACGAGACGTGTAAGGGGTGTGCCAAACTGGGTGGCGGGGAAACATGCGGACGGTGCCACTGGGACCTTCTATGGAGCTCCCTATGGAGCCATGAAGCGCGTAGTGGTTGTGCCGAGATGGGTGGCGGAGACGCGTACGAACGGTGCAACTTGGACCTTTGGTGGAGCTCCTCATGGGACCACGAAACGTGTGAGGGGTGTGCCGAATTGGGAATTGGGGGCCAGGACTCATGCGGACGGTGCCAATGGGACTTTCGACGGAGCTCCCGAAGGGGGCCACGAAACGTGTAAGGGGTGTGCCGAAATGGGTTGCGGGGACGCATGCTGGCAATGCCCATGGGACCTTCGGTGGAGCTCCTTGTGGGGCCTCGAACCAAGCGGGTGGCAGAGGCAGGGATGGGAGCAGCGGGGGGGGGCACCGGGAGGAAGGGAGGAAGGAGCGCGTGGCGTTGTGTTCCAACGAGGGCCCATCACCACAGGATGGTTGGGAGCAGCACGCGAGAGAGGCGGGATCGCCCCTGCATGTTGTCGGGAGGAGAGTCGCGAGGGATGAGTGAGGGGGCGGATCGGGGGGAGGAGAAGCGACACCACCACTACCGGGGGAGCCACCTCCAGCCAGGAGGTCCACGAGGCCTCCCCGAGCTGGGGAACGGGGATGTCTCGAGCGAGAGGGGGGGGACCACACCACCAAGGGCACCACCCTTAGTGGGCCCTGGAAACGACAGGGCCGTTTTGTTACCGGTTCCGTTTTGCCCTTGTTTTGCCGGTTCCGACGCCGTTTCTGTACCGGTTCCGTCGCCGTTTTTTGACCGGTTCCGGCTCCGGCTCCAATCCTGGAGCCGTTTTTTTGCCGTTTCCGGTCGCCGTTTCTTGCCGTTTCTATTTTCAAGGGTTTTTTTTGGAAACGGTGAAAAAACGGCTCCGCCGTTTCCGGGGCCCACAAAGGCACCACCCTTGGCTCTTCCCACCAGTGGTTTTTGGAAGTGGGTGTTGGTGTCGCTTTCCCATGCTCTTGGAGGAAGAAGGAGAGGATGGGAGGAGAGAGCTGGCGAGGAGGACGAGGGGAGATGCGAGAAGGAGGACGTCACGAGACGAGCAGCGACGTGGCAGAGGCGAGGGCGAGGGAACGTTTTGGGGGCGTTAGGGGCCATAGGAGGTCGGGGTCTGGACGGTCTTCGTGTGTTCGAGGGGGTTCTTCTTGCACTCTCGTTCCCTTCTCTTCCCCTCCTCTCTCTTTTTCTGTCTGTTTCTCGTTTACTGATGTTGCTCCCACCGTACTTACGGACCGCAACCCAGGGAGAAGTTCGAGCACCCAGAAAAGTATCGAAACAGTGTCCATTGAGTGCCGCCTCCAAAGGCCCGGCCCGTGAAAACCATTCAGTTACGGGATTTTCTTGGTGTTAGATTTTTTTCTGGTGGTCAAGGTTGAAGTAGGTTATGCTGAAAAAGCTGGACTTCCAGACGCCGCGGAACTCGGCCCGGCAGCGAGCGAGGGGGGGTGGGAATTGAGAAGGAGAAGGCCTCCTCCAAAGGCGGCGGGACTCCTCAGAAGCCCTCGCGCCTCCTGAGAAGGGTTCTGCCTCTTCGAAGAATTACAGCAGGTAAAAGCCCCAATCAGTGGATGGTTTGATGAATCGTGGGATCGATCAAGAAATCGATAAGAAGATCGACCGGGAACCCAGGAACCCGGAACCCGGGAACCATGAACCAAGCTGGAAATCCGGGAAACCCCGTGAACCCAGCCGGCCACCAAAATCGGCGGGAAATGTTCGCCAAATCTTTGAATATCCGCTAGGACCCCTTCAGTGCAAGCACTGATTGGGGAGTAAAGGAGTAGGACACTTCTCAGAGTGCTGGGGGACTTCCGAGCTTTTTGAGCAGGCCCGCCCCTTCTCGCCTTCCCCCCCAGGACTCGCCAGATCGGCGGACGCGTCCTTGTCTCCGCTGGGACACCCATGGATGCCTGCGCTGGGTCCTGGGCAGATCGTCAGGTCCTCGACATTCAGGGCCTTTTTTCCACCAAGACTCAGGGCCTCCTCCTCGTCCTCGATCTCTTCCTCGTCTTCTTCCTCCTTCCTCCCTCCGTCCTTCTTCTCCCTCCTCCTCCTCCTCCTCCTCCTCCTCCTCCTCCTCCTCTTCCTCCTCATTCCTCCTGCCTTCTTCCTCCCTCCTCCTCCTCCCTCCTGACTCCCTCCATCATCCTCCTCTCCTTCCTCATTTTTCTCCATCCTCCTCCCTCTATCCTCCCTCCTGACTCCACCCTCCTCCTCCTCCTCGTCCTCCTCCTCTCCTCCTCTTCTTCCTTCCGCCTCCCCTCATGCCTCATTCCTCCTCTCCCCTCCTGACTCTCTCCTCCTCCTCCTGCCTCCTCCTCCTCTCCTCCTCCTCCTCCTCCTCCTCCTCCTCCTCCTCCTCCTCCCTCCTCCTCCTCCTCTTCGCCTCCCTCTGCCTCATTTCCTCTTCCTGACTCCCTCCTCATCCCACCTCGTCCTCCTCCTCCTCCTCCTGCTCCTCCTCCTCCTCCGCCTCCTCCTCCTCCTCCTCCTCCTCCTCCTCTCCTCCTCCTCCCCTCCTCCTCTCCTCTTCCCTCCTCCTCCCCCTCCTCCCTCCTCCTCCTCCGCCACCTCTCCTCCTCCTCTCTCCTCCTCACTCCTCCTCCTGCCTTCTTCCTCCTCCTCCTCCTCCAATCCTGACTCCCTCTCCCCATCCTCCCCCTTCTTTTCCTCATCCTACTCCATCCTCCTCCCTCTATCTCCTCCTGCTTCACCCTTCCTCCTCCTCCTCCTCGTCCTACTCCTCCTCCTCTCCACCGTCCGCCTCCCTCCTGCCGCATTCCTCCTCCTCCCTCCTGACTCTCTCCTCCTCCTCCTTCCTCCTCGTCCTCCTCCTCCTCCTCCTCCTCCTCCTCCTACTCCTCCTCGTCCTCCTCCCCCTCCTCCGCCTCCTCCTCCTCCCCTCTTCTCCTCCTCCTCCTCCTCCTCCTCCTCCTCCTCCGCCTCCTCCTCCTTCCACTCCTTACCTGCCTCGATTCCTCTTCCTAGACCTCTCCTCCCATCATCCCCTCCTCCTCCTCCTCCTCCTCCTCCTCCTGCTCCTCCTCCTCCTCCTCCCTCTCGCTCCTCCTCCTCCTCCTCCTCCTCCTCCCCCTCCTCTCCCCCTCCTCCTCCTCCTCCTCCTCCCCCTCCTCCTCCTCCTCCTCCTCCTCCTCCTCCTCATCCTCCCGGGGATCGGGGGAATCGGGGGAATCGGCGAATTTGGCCGGACCCCCCCCCCCTCCAAATCGACCGGACCGGGCTCCCGGGGGAGGGGTTTGGGGAGGGGGAAGATCTCACACGCCGATGAACCCCAAAGGGTCGGATGATTTTCGCTGCCTTGGCCTTGCCGATCTTAGGGATAGGGAGAACTTCGAGGCCAGGCTACTCACAGCGCTCGGCACGAAGGAGTGGGTCGTCTTGGAGGTGTCTCATCATGCTCGCGCTCCCAAGGGTCTTCTGGGGCACCGGGACCGTCAAGAGACGACGGCGAAGACGACGACGACCACGACGACGAAAACGAAAACGACGACCACGACGACGACGACGATGCTTTGGCCCTCCTGGGCACTGGGACCACGACCCTATTTCGGGGAAAGCCCTCAGGCACAGGACCCGAGTCCATAATGATCCTTTCCCCAGGGCCAACTCGCGCGATCCAGGAGCTTGAGTAACATGCCTTCTCGTTGTCGTGACCAGATTGCCGACTCGGTCCCCCGACGAGTGCCGAGGCCGTTGCTGCCCTTTCCCCACTCCCCCGCCGAGGAGGAGGCCAAGCGAGCTCGGGAGAAGGCCCTCGAGAGCGCCGCAGATAAGATGGCCCAGCTCAGGGCGTTCAGGCTTGCAAAGGAGAAGGAGGCCCGAGAGAAGGCGGAGGCCAAGCAGCTCAAGGAAGAGGCCGAACTTAAGGAGGCCCAGCGCAAAGAGGCTGAGATGCGGGAAGCCCAGAAGCGGGAGGCCCAGCTGAAGGGTGCCCAGTTCGGGAAGGGCTGCATGGGCGACATGGGCGGCAAGGGCTGCATGGGCGACATGTGCGGTAAGGGCTGCATGGGCGATATGAGCGGTAATGGCTGCATAGGTGGCAAGGGCGGCATGGGTGGCAAGGGCGGCATGTTTGGCAAGGGCTGCATTGGCGACATGTGCGGTAAGGGCTGCATGGGCGACATGTGTGGTAAGGGTTGCATGGGCGACATGTGTGGTAAGGGCTGCATGGGCGACATGTGTGGTAAGGGCTGCATGGGCGACATGGGCGGCAAGGGTTGCATGGGCGACATGGCTGGCAAGGGCTGCATGGGAGGCATGCCAGGCAAAGGCTGCATGGGCGACATGTGTGGTAAGGGATGCATGGGCGACATGACCGGCAAAGGCTGCATGGGCGGCAAGGGCGACATGTGCAGCAAGGGCTGCAAGGGCGACATGGGCGGCAAGGGTTGCATGGGCGAAATGGGCGGCAAGGGCTGCATGGGCGACATGTGTGGCAAGGGCTGCATGGGCGGAAAGGGCTGCATGAACGGCAAGGGCGATATGGGCAGCAAGGGCTGCATGGACGGAATGTGTGGCAAAGGCTGCATGGGCGACATGTGTGGCAAGGGCTGCATGGGCGACATGGCCGGCCAGGGCTGCATGGGCGGGAAGGGCTGCATGGGCGGCATGGGCGGCATGGGATGCAAGGGCTGTATGCCGCCGATGCCCGGCATGGGTGGCATGCCCAATGTCGTGGCGATGCCCATGAAAGGGGTCCCCCCGCCCGCTCCAGCCATCATGGACGGCACCGGCGCGATGGCCAAGGCCACGTGTGCCTCCTATTCCTCGTCTCCCGTCCCGTCTTCTTCCGCCTCGCCCTCCCCCTTGTACTCATCATCCTCTTCCTACTCATCTTGCTGTCTCGTCCCCATCCCAGCCATCCCCTCTTTCTCGATTCCTGCTTCTCCCGCTCCTGCCCGCTTCCCCAACCTACCTGCCCCCCCCTGGTTCTGCTCCTCATCCTGTTCCCATCATCCGTCCTCATCATTTTTCTCCTCCTTCTCCCCCCCTGCCTGTTCCTTCTCTGCTCGCCCCCCCTCCCGCCCCCCCCTCCCCACGAACGTGGACGTCAAACTTTCAGTGCTCCTCGTGCTGCTCCTACGCATCTGCCCTTCTCCCGTCTCCCCCCCCATTCGGATGCAACTCGTGGTGGGAGGTCAAATTCTGACTCTTTGCCCTGGTCCGAACTCCAGCTGAATCCGGTTTCATCCCGCTTAGTCGGGCTCAATCACGCTGAATGAGGCGGTTTGATCCCGCTGAATCGGCGGCTTCATCTGGCGCAACAGTCCCAATGTGGCTTAAGCGGCTTAATCCTCCTTAATCTTCCTTCGACGAAGACCTCCCAGTAGTTGCCTCCCCCCCCTGCTCAGTCTGCGGGACCGGGCCCCCTGGGCGGCATGGGCGACGGCAGCATGGGCTTCACGGCCAAGGCTGGCATCGGCGCCATGGTCAAGGCTGGCCACATCCAGTTCCTTCGGTCGGGCATGTCCTCCTGCGGGCGGATTTGGGACGAAACATAAAAGATAGTCAGCAGTTGTTCGGATTGTTTGGACGAAGAGCAAACATAGTATTCAAAGAAACTCAACATATGTTTTGATTAGTTTCGACTACAGTCGAAACTATGCAAGAATGTGCCATATTTGTTGTTGACTATGTTTGAATATTCCTCCTGCTGAGGGGCACGCCCGACGGAACCATCTCCTGCGGCGGCGCACCCACGGCGGGGAACGGTGGGAGGAGGAGGAGGACGAGCAGGAGAAGGAGCAGGAGCAGGAGGAGGAAGGAGGAGGAGGAGTTGGAGGAGGAGAGGGAGGAGGAGGAGAAGGAGGGAGGAGGGAGGAGGGGAGGAGGAGGATGAGGAGGAGGAGGAGAACGAGGAGGAGGAGGAGGGAAGAGGAGGAGGAGGAGGAGGAGGAGGAGGATGAGGAGAGGAGGAGGAGGAGGAGGAGCAGAGGAGAAGCAGGAGGAGGGAGGAGGAGGACGAGGAGGGAGGAGGCGGAGGAGGAGGAGGAGGAGGAGGAGGGGAGGGGAGGAGGAGGTGGAGAGGAGGGAGGAGGAGGGGGAGGGGGAGGAGGGGGAGGGGGCGGGGGGGGGGGAGAGGAGGAGGATGAGGAGGAGGGAGGAGCTCCGCACAGGCTCCGCACAAGCTTTCTCGACGACTTTCCTCCAGTCGGGCATGCCCCTTCTACCTCAAGGGCGTTGAAAACGCCCCGACCCTAGTTTACGGGGCGCTGTGCGTTGAGCCTCCTGTGGGCTGACAGGGTAAACCTTGCATATCGCGCGTGTCGGGCGGCGTCCTGGCGGCTCTTTGGGCTTTGGGAGCTCCCAGGAGGTTTACGCACCACGCACTTGTATCCCAGGGTAGGGACGCTGTTGCATCCTTCAACTTCAGGAGGCATCGCAAGCAGCAGTTAACACGTAGTCTGAGAACGATGGTTTGATTATGGTTTGGCGATGTTATTGTTGGCTGCTGTTGTTTGGCGATGTGTGGCTACTGTTGACCACTCGCAGAAAACAATCCGCTGGTAGGAGGACGTGCCCGACCTAGCCTTCCCCAGCAAAGCTCAGAAGGGCGGAGGGCTTTGAGAAGCCCCGCCGCCTTCTCAATAGGCTTGTCCACTCTCATGCAGGGGGGGCGCGCATCAAGAAGCCGTGTGCTTTCCGTCAGGGCATCCTGGGTTTCTTCGCTACGCGAGCTGCGCGGCGACTTTCCGCAGCCGTCGAAGTAGCTGCTGCGTTCAGGGTGCTCTGAGATTCACCTCAGGTGCACCTCGCGCGCGGGTGTTCAGGGTTGGGTTTCTTGCGGGGGGTTCTTGCGGCCTCGCCCGAACTCTATCTCTTCTCGGCGCGCCGCGAAATCATACTGAGTGTCCTTCTCCTCTTCTCCTCTACTCGCTTCCAGGGTCCATGTCGATTCGATCGATTCGATTCGATGCTGATTCCGGCGGGCCCGATCCGATTCAATCTCGATATTCTTCGGACCCGATGTTTGTATGGCGTTGTTGCTTATCCAGGCCCAGCCGATTCATTTCGATTTCGATTCGGTCCGATTTCCCAATTCGACACTGGATGATCTTGCCTTCTCGTTTGCCCCCCCTCCCCGTATCCAGGGTTACGCCTCATCCCTCCCCAAAGCTCCCAAAGCTTATGGGATAGCCCTCCCCCCCTCACCCGGGTGAATGGGCACGCGCCCGCGAGTCTCGCGAAGGCCTCGCGAACGGGGGGATCGCCGTCCCCCCCCCCCCCAGGAGGAGGAGGAGGAGGAGGAGGAGGAGGAGGAGGAGGAGGAGGAGGAGGAGGAGGAGGAGGAGGATTGTCACGGCTGTCGCTTGAAGCACGGGTAATGTTTTACAGCTTCGTGCCCTGACACTGGTGGCATGCTATGTTCAATTCCAAGTCAAATTCAAACATCAGAAAGCACTGGAGTATCTGCCACAAAAATCATGCTACCCTGCGTGGTGCAAATTGTTGAATATGCAATGCTAATTCATGTGGGATGTAACCTGGAATGCATGAGTAAGGTCCCCCCACGGCTGTGAAGCAGGATGGTTCACAACTGCCTGGCCTCTTCCTCGGGGAGGGCCGCCCCACGACTGCGAAGCACAATTATCTGCCCTGTGCCAATCCCCGTATTCCCATGGGTGCAACATGTATTCAGATGCGCCTACTACCACGCCTATGCTTTGCAACACTCGCGCCAATGCCCTCCACTGCACGGCCTATGGCCACCCATGGCCTACACGCGGGCCCTTTGTACGGTGGCTAGTAAGCCCCCCACCCCCATGCCTGATGCGGCCACCTATGGCCCGCGTGCTATGCACAGACCCCAGGCCTGTTGCGGCCTACTATGGCCTGCGAACTATCAACATGTCAAAGCATGGACCTACCTGACTACTCCTCCATGACGTGGCTGGGGGACGGGGCCAGAATGAGGAGGAGGTGGAGAAAACGGGCGAAGGGGAGGAGGGAACCGAGCAGCTATGGAACACTTTCCACAAGAACTCCTGCAGCCCCATCGCGACGCTCTCAGTCCTAAATGAGGCCGCGCTTGATTAATCCCACTTCGTGGGATGACTGTTTCGGAGCTACCCTACTAAAACGCAATGCTGGGCGACCGTGTTCGGCCAAGCTAGACGTTAACACATATCCATTCGATCAAACGCAACGCTGGAGGACCGTGTTCGGCCAATCTAGATGTTAACACAGTTCCCCCCCTTCGAGCAGGGGGGACCTAATTTTGTTAAGTGCAGCCTCATGGCGTAATCCCCCCAACACTTTCAACACCGTCCGCATGCTCTAACCAAGCAAGAAGCACCGCAGCAGTGGTGGACCCACGCTGTACGAGCGCTACGCGCACGATCGCTATGGATGATCATCCATTTGATACGCGATACCTTATCCGATGGAGGCACGTGTGAACAACCGTGGCGGTACCCGCCCCGCCCCTTCTTCAACCACTTCGTGCGCTAACAATGGTGGCGTGCTATGTTCAATTCCAATTCCGACTCAAACCTCAGAAATCATTGAACTAATTGCAACCTACATCAGGCTACTTTGCGTGGTGCAAGCTGTTCGACATGCAATGCTAATTCAAGTGGTATGTAACCTGTAATGCACGAGTAAGGTCCCCCCACGGCTGCGAAGCAAGATGGTTTACAGTTGCTTGGCCTCTTGCCAGGGGAGGGCCACCCCATGACTCTGAAGCACAATTAGCTGCCCCGTGCCAATCCCCATACCCCCATGGATGCAGCACTTTTTGAGATGCCTACTACCACGCCTATGCTTTGCAACACTCGCGCCAATGCCCTCCACTGCACGGCCTATGGCCACCCATGGCCTACACGCGGGCCCTTTGTACGGTGGCTAGTAAGCCCCCCCACCCCCATGCTTGATACGGCCGCCTGTGGCCCGCGTGCTACTGCACAGACACCAGGCCTGTTGCGGCCTACTATGTCCTGCGAACTATCAACATGTCAACGCATGAACCTACCTGGCTACTCATCCACGACGTGGCTGGGGGACGGGACCAGAAGCAGGAGGAGGAGGAGGAATAGGAGGAGGAAGAGGAGCAGTAGGAGGAGGCGACCCGATAACGCAACACCAGACAAGAGACGCCTTTTCCATATTTGCATGGGACATCCTCCACTGCGCGGGGGCTGCGTGTCCCATCAACCGAATATGTGCGTCCCCTTTACCAGGACTGTGTGTCCCATAACCGTGACTGCGCGCCCCATTTGCCAGGAATGTGTGTCCAATACCAGGGACTTTGTGTCCCATTTGCCAGGATTGTGCGTCCCATAACAGGGACTGCGCGGCCCATTTAAGTTATCAGGGCTGTGTGTCCCATAGCCCATAGCTGGGACTGCGTGTCCCATGCGCCTGCCCTCTGGGAGAACCGCCCCATAGGCCATCGGCCATAGGGCATAAGAGCTGGAAGGCTGGAATGCGGGTCGCATAGCATCACATCACAACCGCATCGCGGTGTCCTTTGGTATCAGTTACGGCTTGCGCACTATCAACACGGCAACTACTGCACCTACCTTACTACTCCTCTCTACGTGTTTGGGGCCGGGTCCTACTCGGGGATCGTTCTCGCTTTCACGTGGCATACCGCTGCTGGGATACCGTGAATCCACGGGGTTGTCCCAATCTCACCCTCCTCGGCGTGGCTGGGGAATGAGGTTCGCCCCAGCCCACGTTCTTCGCTGTAACCTAGGAAGTTAGGGGTGCTGTAACTTCATATGGATAGAGGAAGAGGGGTGCCTCTGGCGCTTCCGGGAACAGCCCGGAGACGCAAATCCCAAAATCGAGGCCTTGCAAGTAAGGACCTGAACCCCTCATAGGTACAGAAGGACGCGCGGGTGCCTTACAACGACCAAAGATGATGCTGACAACGGCCCTAGGACTACCTTCTCTCCTTGATCCAGCAGTTGTACATGTAATCATTCACCGCTGGGCGGGACGATGGGCGTCTCAGTTGCCAGGCAGAAATTGCTGCAGTTTCAGTGGCGCTATTTCGCACCAGCCCACGCTCGACAAACCTACCCAGATGCCCCCTCTTGGCGTGGCTGGGGAATAGAATTCACCCCAGCCCACGCTCTTCATACCCCCCCGGCGTGGCTGGGGAATGGAAGTCGCCCCATCCCACTCTCGACCTTCCCTTTTCCCCTTAGCTTGTGCATTCCGCTCTGCCCTTGAGATACGGCCTGAGCACTGTCAACGTGTCAACGCATGACCCTACCTTACTACTCCCCCACGGCGTGGCTGGGGATCGGGGTCGGAGTAACGTAAAGCGACCCTCAAAGAGATCATTCCCATGAACATGTCCAAATGCATGTGTCGAATAAACATGCCGATCGACAACTTGCTGGCCTGTGTCGCCCTGGTGGCGAAACGCCAGTGGGCTCGGGGGAGGTGCTCTTCGGAGATCCCCAATCTCCTTGCAGGCCGCCCAATGCGTCCTCCCCGAAAACACCAGACTGGGGCCATGCACACCTCCGGCACGGGGAGGAGGAGGAGGAGGAGGAGGAGGAGGAGGAGGAGGAGGAGGAGGAGGAGAAGCAGGAGGAGGAGAAGCAGGAGGAGGAGGTGGAGGAGGAGGAGGAGAAGTAGGAGGAGGAGGAGGATGAGCAGGAGGAGGAGGAGGACTTCCCCCCTGTGGTCGTGGCCCTGTGCGCGTGGCGTGGTGGAGGCCCCTCCCCCCTGTGGGTGTGTGGGGTGGTGCCGTCGTCGTTGTCCTCGTCGTCGTCGACGTCGCCGATGCATCGCCGACATATCGGCGATGCACTGGCGATGCGGCGCGATCCTTCGACCCCATCTACTCCGACCCCATGTGTGACGCCTCTGCCACGGCAGATCTGGGGAAGGGAGCGGGGGAGGGGGGGTCCAGCGCGGATCCAAGAAATCCGCGCGGAGCTCCACAGGTGTATGTTTATGTTGTGTTTCCTTCTTCTATAGAGGTTGCCACCAACCCAATACGAATATCGGAGGTTTGCCTCCACCGATGGAAGACGATCCCGATTTCGGTGATGGTGGTAGTGTTCGGGCTTCGTAGGTGGCCGAGAGAATACCACCAGCACCGGAATCTACAACCATATAGTTCTCGGCCATCATGCCGCCGCCACGGAGAGTTTCCTGGGTGCCCTTGCTCGAGCCTCCTTGGGGCGGTGCGTATTGGGAGGGCGATAAATTGAGGGGTGAAGAAAGGTGCACCTTTCGTACACCTTGGGAGGGGCCCAATGGAGGCACTAAAGATGCACGCTACTCCTTCCATGTATCGCTACCCCCATCAAGCAACTCACAACTCCGCTCCCGTGCCCCCCGTACCTTCCAGGCCTCCTAGACGGGGTCCGAGTAGATGAGGTTTGAGGGTCGCACCGCAGCGCCGATGCATCGTTGATGCGGCTTGATGTGGAGCCCAATTTTCTCCACACCGACGGAGCCGATGCATCGCCGTCGTCGCCGACGCATTGCCGATGCATCGCCGATACATCGGCGATGCGGCGCGATCCTTCGACACCATCTACTCGCACCACAGCGGGCTAAAGCGGGCCCCATACGGGGCCATTCCACTGGTGCCCCTCCTGAGCCCGAGAGGCTCCTTAAAGGACCAGTGCACCTGTCTTCACCTCCTCCACAAATCGGACGCCTTCGGACGGGGCCAGGACAAGGAGAAATTCGTTCCAGAGCGTTCCAGCACGCTCTCAGGGCGTTCTGGTACGCTCTGAGAAGGCCGCGGCGCCTGATGCATCATCCAGAGCCGTCGGATCTCAGAGATTCCCTACTTATCCTCACCCGATGTCATTTTCGTCCTGGCCCCTTTCACGAAAGGTGCCCCTGTCTTGCCCCCCCCCCTCCAGAATCGGGAGCCTCCCTCAGATCTCGGGCGTGCAGTAGTTTGGGTGCACGGGGGGGGGGGAGAAAGGTGCACGTTCTGTGCCTTGAAGGGGCCCTGAAAGAGTCCGAGTTCCCCTGAGGCGCTCAAAGCAGCACGTACCAGTGCAGCCCGAACGTACTTGCCAGGGCGCACCTTTCTCCCCCTTCGACTTGTTTCGTCCCCACATTAATGCACGCCCGACGCGCGCCCTTCTATGCACGGTTTTAGTTTCCCGCCAATGATTTATCTGCACCTCTTTGTGGCTTGAAGAAGCCCTGTGCACGTTTCTCCCTCGCATTTCGGGGCTCAACAGACGGGGGTCCATGCCAACGGGGTCAGTCAGAGCGCTGGCTCTTTCAGGGGGGTCAAAAACACAGACACAACTAATCGTCGACCCCCAGGAAAATATGGGAATATATGGGAAGTGAGGGGGAAGACGAACATCCAATCAATATTGACAAATATGGGGAATCCTGGGATGTGTGTGTGTACTTGTTGGTGTGTGTGTGTCCTCGACGAAGCCACAGCTTTTATCATGCAGTTGGCAGCGCGCATACAGTGTTTGTAATCTTACTTACCGGCTTGACGTTATTGAACTTTGTGGCAACACGATGGGTGGCGTTTGGGAGCAACAGAATATGTCTTTGGGCCCCTTGACTCTCGCAGGATCCTGCAAAGCCAGGGGGGCACGGACCCAGGCTGGGGCCCAGGATCCTGCAGGACTTTGCAGGACCCTACAAAGCCCGACTGACCCGGGTCTGGACAGATCTGGGTCAGCAGATCCCCGAGCAGATCGGGGTAGGGGGAGGGGGGAACGCCTCCTAGAAGCATCCCGCTTCTCAGAAGGCGTGGGCCCCGTCATTAGATGCACGGCCCGCGCCTTCTACGAAGCAGCCTCCTTGTAACAAGTCTTCCCCCCTCCCCCCTACCCCCCTCTCCGAAGAAAGGCGGTAATGCCGGGCTCGCAAAAAATTGACCACGGGCACAGTCCCAATCCAATCCTCCTCCTCCTGCTCCTCCTCCTCCTCCTCCTCCTGCTCCTCCTCCTACTCCTTCTGCTCCTCCTCCTCCTCCTCCCCTCCTCCTCAGGGCCCCAGAGAGTTCACGCCCGGCAGACAGACCAGCCCCCGCCGCCCTGCCGAGCGCCGCGGGGGGGCCAGCAACGCGCCACTCGGCGCGGCGTTGACCTGCCCTGGAGGCCGCGGTGGGCCTGCGTCTTACCGAGCGAGGCTCGCCCCCCCCCCCCCACCCACACACACACACCCCACCCACCCACCCACCACTCATCCATACATATGCACACACACACACGCGCGCGCGCACGCACGCACGCACGCACGCGCCCGCCCGCCGCCCGCCCGCCGCCCGCCGCGCACACCACACACACACACACACACAAAAAAACAAAAAAAAAAAAACGCCGGAGGCCCCGAAGCCCCTCCGCCCACCCCGCTCCCAGAGCGCGCGCGCTCGTGCCCTCCGCCGCCGTCCCCACGTCATCTCCCTCCCCCCACAGACCCTCCCCCCTGCACCACCCTTCCTCCTCCCCCTCCCCCTCCCTCCCCTCCTGTTCCCGCTCCTCAGGCATGCCCTTCCTCTCTCTCCCCCCCCCACTTTCCCCCTCCTCCCTCCGCTCTCCCCGTTTCCCCCCCCCCCCCCCCCTCCCCCGCTTCGTCCCCGGCCCCCCGCCAGGCCCCCCGCCAACCCTCCGTCTCTCCCACCTTCCCCTCCTCACCCCTTCCGCACTGCCCCCCCCGCGCAGGCTGGCTTCGGAGGCGCTGGAGGTCCCTCCATGGATGCCAGCCTGGACGGCACCAGGGGTTGCAACAAGCGGGGGGGGCGGCAGGACGGGCGGGAGGGAGTCGTCCGCGCCACGATGGAGGGGAGGGGATGTTGGGAGGGGAGCGGTAGCGGCGAGACACAGCAGGAGGAGGTACGGAGGAGGAGGGAAACACAGGAGGAGGAGGAGGAGGAGGAGGAGGAGGAGGAGGAGGAGGAGGAGGAGGAGGAACAGAGGAGCACGAGGAGAAGGAAGTGGAGGAGGAGGAGGAGGGAGAAGAGGAGCAAGATGTCTAGGAGGAGGAGGGGCAGCAGGAGGAGCAGGAGGAGGAGGAGGAGCAGGACGAACAGGCACGCAGAAGGGGGAGGCGGGGAGGGGGAGGAGTGGTAAACTGGGGGGGGGGAGTCAGAAATGAGGGATGAGGAGTTTGGAGTCAGGAGGAGGAGTATGGGGTGGAGGGGCAGGAGGCGGAGGAGGGATTGTGGGGGGAATAGCGCAGGGGTGGCCAGGGATTGAATGGAGGTAGCAGGGGTGAGGGGGGATGAAGAAGGGATGAGGGAGGAGGGAGGGGAATGGAGGGAGGAATTGGAGGGGATAGGGGTTGAGAAAGAGGATGCGTCGATGATTTGTAGGGGAGGATGAGTGAGGCGCATCTGTGAGAAGAAGGGACGACGCAGAAGGGCGAGTGGAGGAGGCAGCCGGGAGAAGGGACGAAGAGGGAGTGGAGAGGGAGGGAGGGAGGAGGAGGTCGGAAAGAGGACGGAAGAGGAATGACGGGTTGGAGAGAGGAGGGAGCAAAGGACATAGAGAGGCTAACAGAGCACATGCCGGGTGAGGGAGGGCTGCGCCGGTAGCAGCAGCAGCAGAAGCAGGGGGAGGAGGGGACGGCGGAGGAGGATAACAGGGTCGGACCGATATGTGAGATCCAGGTCGGCTTGGCAAGGGTGCCCTGATGTTCTTCGCGCCTGTTGTGTAGAACTGTGCATCCTCGGGGAGGGTATCCTCGGGGAGGGTCTCATGTTCATGTGGGCAACGCATCCCTCTCTCCTCCCCCTCCTGGATGGGTCTGCGGAGCTCTGGGCCACCTGCGGCTTCGATAGGCTTCTGGATGCCCGGAGCAGAGAACAGACACGTCGATCCTCAATCCCTGTCGCCCTCCTCTCTTCATAGGAGTCCGATGCAGATGTTTTGTCGGTGCGCTTCCCCTGAGATTCCGACCTTCCCAGGGGCCTGGAATGGGATTCCGGAGGCCGCAGAGGCTGACATCAAAGAACAAGTGCCGACGTCGAACACAGTTACGACACTGTCGGGCTGGTGATGCCGCGCGTTCCCTCTCCTCTTCCTTCGCCTCCTTTTCCTCCCGCCTTTGCCGCCCGCTCCATCCTGTCCCTGACTCGAACTCGTCGCAATCTTCCAGCTCGTGCTGTCCTCCTCCTCCTCCTCCTCCTCCTCCTCCTCCTGCTCGTCCTGCTCCTTCTCCTCCTCCTCCTCCTCCTCCTCCTCCTCCTCTTCCTCCTCCTCCTCCTCCTCCCTCCCCCCATCCCCCTCCCCCTCCTCCCCCTCCTCCTCCTCCTCCTTCGCCTTCTCCCCCTCCTCCTCCTCCTCCTCCTCCGTAGCCATTTTGGCTCATGCCGCCGCGCCCCAGCATCTTGGCTCTATGTGCTAGCTCATGGCGCCGGATACTGGGAGCAGGCATGAACTGGCTGCGGGACCCGCCCCGTGTGTGTGTGTGTGTGTGGCGTGAAGATGTGCTTGGCGCGGCTGTAGCTCGGCGGCAGCGACGCGCGCGTGCCGCAGTGTCGGCCGATAATTTGGTCAGGAAACTCATTACGGAGAAGAACGTATTGCAGGAGCGCAGCAGATGGGCAGACGACCCTGAAGTACGACGGCGCTTGGATGCCATTTTGCCTTTTCTCGTCGAGGAGGTCGAGGCTGCCAGGCGAGGTGCCACACCTGCCCATTCTCATAGGGAGCAGGTGCTGCGCAACGTCGCGTTGCATGTCTTCAACCTCCCCATGGACCAGCTCATGGACCTCTCGTTCAGGGCATTCAATCGAGTGCAAAGGAGGCAGGGGCGCCAGCTGGACCTTCGGACGGATATGTTCGAGGCGGATGCGACCCCGTTGCGCGCCGAGGCACCCGAGTTCGTCCCGTCGGCGGGCTACTGGGAGCCCTTCGAGCCGTTCGCGCACAAGCGCTGCACGGGCCTCGTCTGCACTTGCGGGACCACGGTGTTCTCCTCAGGCGCGGTCGCGGTGGTCGGTGGCCAGGTGGACGGAGCGGCGGCGGAAGGGATCGCAACCCAGAGGGCCCCTACGGGGGATGACTGCCCTGCCGAGGGCGCCGCGGGCGCTGCCGCTGCAGAGGCGACGGGCGCCGACGTGAGGGCCCCTACGGGGGATCACTGCCCTGCCGCAGGGGCCGCGGGAGCGTCGCTGGACGCGCAGGCTGCTGCAGTTCAGTGCCCACCCCATGGGGCCTCATACATGGGGGGCTGGGGGGGGGACGGGGGCGAATGCCATTCCCCTGTCTCCTGCCCGCGTCGACCCCAGGGGGTGCACTCGCCCTGGGGGCTTTGGAACGTTTCCCATTTGGCTGGCCGAAACTGCTCGTGGTGACGAGCCTGGAGGCGCCGAATCCCCACTGCCCGACGCCGAGCTCGAGGGGGACGAGTCCGACGCTAACGTCGTCTCGCCATCCGCTACCGTGGCCGACGCTGCTGCCCTACGACCTGGTGGACTTTCGAGTTCAGCAGTGTGGTGGGCCGCCCGAGCGTGCATCTCCAAGGCGTGGTTGGAAGCGAAACGGCCGTCGGCCTCCACCCCTAGTCACCATCCTGTTCAGTGGGAGAAGTCTGGGGCGAAGTTGCAGCCCGACGTGATCAGCTACAGTGCTGCGACCAGGGCGGGCGAGACGGGGGGAGAGAATTCTGAGCTCAACGATTGGGAGAACAGTATTACTAGAGCGAGACTTGTACGAGATGCTGAGACTTTTCGGGGAGGGCAGGCCGCTTCTTTCCTGCCTAATGGTTCGACTGTGATCGATTGGGCTGCCGCCACCCGAAGTAGCGAGCAGCAGGAGTGTATGCAAATGTGAGTTGATGGTTATGGGAGCGTGTATTCCGCAGCTTTGAACGGTACTTGATCTTGTGCAGGCCTCTCTGGGTCCATGTTCTGTACTGTCGTGCGCAACGTGACTTTGGTTGAATACGGCGGGCTGTTTCGGCACATGGTAAGGGATTTCTCGCAGGACCACGCGGGCTTCAAATCCCAGGGTCCTGAGGCAGGCTGGCGCAGGTCTGGCGTTCGAGAGTGTGCTATGAGTTTGGGTGCTTCGTCAGGATCACACTCGTGGTGGTGTCCACTCCACTCCACTCCTCCTCCTCCTCCTCCTCCTCCTTTCCTTCTTCTCCCTGCCTGCTCCGCCCTGCCCACCCCTCCTCCTGCCGCCTCACGCGTCCGCGCCCTGCTCCACGAGGCGCGCGCAGCGACACACTCGGCAGAACGGCCGGGCACAGAGGGGCCTCGCAGCCCAATGCATCTTATTTGTTCGGGAGGGCAACACACACGCACACACACACACACACACACACACACGCGCGCGCGCACACACGCACGAGCACACACACACACACCGACGCACACGCACGCACACGCACACGCACACGCACACGCACACACCGACGCACACGCACGCACGCACGCACGCACGCACGCACGCACGCACGCACGCACGCACGCACGCACACACACACATACACACACACACACACAAACACACACACACACACACACACGAAAAACACACGCAGACAATGAACCGTCGACTCCCAGGAAGCTATGGGAGCACATGGGGAGTGGCGGGGGGGACGAACGCCAAGAAGATATGGGAACATATGGGAAACCCTGGGATGTGTGTGTGTGTGTGTATTCGTGTGTGTGTGTCCCTGGGCCCGTTATTTTCTTCTCTCTCCTTTTCTCCTTCCTACCTGCCCCATCCCTGTCTCCCTCCCTTTATTTTCTTCTCTCTCCGCTTCTCCTTCCTACCTGCCCCATCCCTGTCTCCCTCTCTCCTGGTCTTCCCAGCTCGTCAGTACGAACGAACTGGGTACGGAAAGAGTGGGCACGATAACCGACAGCAGGCATTGCTCACTCTGATCAGGGCTGGCTGCCGGTGTCGTTGTCCATTCGAGACGGACGTCCGCTTGCCCAATTGCGGCCGCTGTCGGTTTTTGACAAACTTTCTTGGAAGGCGGCGTGCCCACTTTGTTCCGTTCGCATTTCGGGCGTGCCGAGCCCAGAGTATCTTCAGGGCCTTCGCCGTTCCCTTTTGCGGAGCCGCCTCTCGCCGCTGGCAGTGCGGGGCAGGGCTGGGCCCAAACGCTGTTGAGCTGGACTTCGGCTGTTGTCTGCTCGTTGTCGCAGTCTTCGTCGTCGTCGTCCTCGTCGTCGTCGTTGTCGTTGTCGTTGTCGTCGCGGCGCCAGGCATGAGCATGAGCAAGGCGGGGACCAGGGCGGTGATGGGCGGCGCGGACGGCGCGTGCGGCTTCAGCAGCAAGGCGGCCGCCGCATCCCCCCCCCCTCTCGTGGAGGCCGCGGGCGGGAGCTCCCCCGCAGTGGGCCAGAAGGCAGGCGGGGGGGAGCAGGGGGGAGGGATTGGGAGGAGGAGAAGGAGGAAGAGGAGGAGGAGGAGGAGGTGGAGGAGGAGAAGGAAGAACAGGAGGAGCAGCATCTGCAGCAGCAGCAGCAGGATGAGGAGGAGGAGGAGGAGGGGCAGGAGGTGGAGGAGGAGGAGGAGGAGGAGGAGGAGGGGGATGCGGGGGGCAAGGGGGATTGGGAGGAGGAGGAGGAGGAGGAGGAGCTGCGAGCTGCGAGCGATTCGACGTAGTCGATTTTTGGGACCGCGGGGGGCCTGGATTCCACCTGAGGACCCCAGGACCCCCCGACCGCGCTGCGCTCGAAGAGGACCGCCTCCGCGAAGGCCAACGAGGACGCGTCGACGAAGGCGAACAATCTCCCAGCACACCGCGGCGTCTGACGCATTCCCGTAGCGCAGATCACTATTCAACTCTGGTTGCAATCGGCTGGCGCCTCCGCTGGTGCTGTCTGCGCGGCCACGGCCGCCTCGGAGGGGGCCGCGATGGCGCTCCAGTCGATGGGCGGCCCCGTGGCGACTGCAGAACGTGGTGTGGGACATCTCAGGGCGTCGGCGTCGCGGAGGAGCCGCGCCCTTGCAGTGCTGAACTCCCATCCTGCAACAGCTGCAGCCTGATCACCCCTCAGCTCGCCGACGATCTCCACGGCGGGCTCGGAATCACGACGAGGCGCAGCTGCTCCTCGATCATCGCCTGCATCTTGGACAAGCCATGTGTTGGCAATGGCTTGACGGGCCTGCCACCACTCAGCACCACGTACAAGACCAGGGCGTACACCAGGATCAGGGACGCAAGATGCACGAACGTCGAGGGGAATATCAACCAGACGACGGTGAAGATGCACGTCACCGCGCTCAGCAAGCTCGGCGATACCATCATCGTGACCGTCTTCGTGGTAAGAAGGGGAGCCCTCGGCGGAGTCGCCGAAGAGGGTCGCGCCGCATGTGCAGAGCCAGCCCAGCGCCGTCGGCGGGGGGAGGACCTCCCAGCGGCCCAAACCAGGGCAGAAAGGCGGGGCGTCAGCTCGAAGGGACGGCTGAGTGACGACGTCCGTCGAGCCGAGCCGCTGCCCGCGCTGCGCCCGCCGCCAGCTCGCCAGCGGCGCCGAGGCGGGCGGGCACTCCAGCGAATGCAGCGCCACGTTCCTGCGTAGGCGAGCTCCATGGGGTACGCTGCAGCCCTGAAGTCGTGCGACCAACGCCGGTCGAGCAATCGCCTCACGGCGCTCCACCTCGGCGGCCACCGTGGATCCGGAGCCCGCACGCGCCGCCAGCTCCGCTTCCAGGGCCGCGCACCGCTGCTTTGCCTCGGCCAGCTCGCGGCTGAGCCGAGACACGAGGCGGTCTGCCGCCACACGGGCGCCCGCCGCGCCGCGCAGGACCGCCTCTCCCGTAGCCATCCTCATGTCGTGCCAGCTTCCGGAGCCGCCGCCGCCGAGGCACGGAACATCGGCGAAAGGGCTGCGGAAAGCGGGGGACAGGCATGAGCCAAAATGGCTACGGAGGAGGAGGAGGAGGAGGAGGAGGAGGAGGAGGCGGGGGAGGAGGGGCAGGAGGTGGAGGAGGAGGGGGAGGAGGGGCAGGAGGTGGAGGAGGAGGATGAGGCAGAGGAGGAGGAGGAGGAGGAGGAGGAGGAGGAGTAGGAGTAGGAGGACCCCCGATTCGGGAGAGCAAAGCCGCCCCTTCCTTTCCAGAGAGTTGGGCACCAGTGACGCCCAACTTGGGGGTATACCTGAGTCGAGTTGAGTTGAGGAGATGAGGGGCAGGGGGATGAGGAAAAGCAGCGGAGGGAGAGCAGGAGGAGGGGGAGGAGGGATGCAGTTGAAAGAAAGAGGAGAAAGAGGGGGAGATGTGGGAGGAGGAGGAGGAGGAGGAGGAGGAGGAGGAGGAGGAGGAGGGAGGAGGGGGAGGAGGAGGAATGCAGTGAGAGGAAAAGGAGGAGGATGAGGAGGAGGAGGAGAAGGAGGAGGAAGGGGATAGAGGTGGGGAAGGGGGGAGGAGCAGGAGGATTTGGACTAGCCACCCCGCCCTCCTACCTCCTCAATCGTCCCGCCTTCTTCGGAGGAGGGGGGAAGGAGTCAGTTGTTCTTCTTCATCCCCCCCTTCTCCTCCCGCCGCATTGGCTAAGCTCGCTGTTCAAACCAACGGTCAGTCTCTGCATGTCCCCAGCAGGCTAGATGATGGCAGATTTATCCTAACTTGCAGTTTGTGTGGCAAGCGTTCGGAGTACACCCTCAAAGTACTCCATGAGAGTTGCCCTGGGGAGCTCCTATCTCATTTCGCCCGTGGAGCCTGGTCTCTGCTAATTTTGGGAGGGGTGCCCCAGGGCCTCAAAGACGAGCCCTGTGGTGCGTGGTGCCCCAATCGCATCGGAGAGGGTGGCCCAAGGAGGCTCCCTCAGGCAGTCGTTCGAATCGCTGTAGGCGAAGTCGAACCATTCAGACGCCGTGCGATGGGCCCCATTTTCTTCCCTCTTCTCTCCCCTCGCTCACCCTGGTCCTCCTCGTGCCCCTCTTCCTCGTGCGGGCGTGCTGCTTCATGTCCGCCTCTACGTGTTCTGCTCCTCTCCTCGTTCCTCCGCGTATTCCTCCTCGTCATCCTCCTCTAGCCTAGTCCTTTGCCTCCCTCCCTTCTCCTTCGCCGTGCCCTCCTATCAGTCACTCTCTCTCCTCATCACTCTCCTGGCTATTCTCCTCCCCTTCGCTCTCCACCCCGTCGCGCTCATCCGCCTCATCCGGCTCTGTCTCTCGCTTTCTCTCTCTCTCTCTCTGTCTCTCGCTCTCTCTCTCTCTCTCTTTCTATGGCCTTCCTTCTAGTTTTACCGCATCTCCTCCTGCGGCTCCTGCGTTTCCACCTCTCCCCTTTCCTCTCCGACCGAAACCCGCGCAATCTCAGTCCACGTATTGTTACCCTGGGGGCCAGAGCGATGTATGATCGCTCCGTGGCCTGGCACGGGCCCCTGGAGGCCGCAATGGAGGAGACGCTTCGGGGCGATTTGCCCCATTCTCCTCCTGCGTCTCCTTCTTCTGGCCTGGGCGCCTGCCAGACTGCAGCACAACGAATCGTGGGGGGCAGGCTTGGGGTTCGGGGCTTTCGGGCATGTTTGACGGGCCTCGTCGGCTTTCCAGCCTCGGGTCGCTTGCGGCGGCTGCGCCTCGCCGAGAGCGTTCCAATGGTGCCCGCAGCGTCCCGAACGGCCGCCAAGGAGCCGAGTAGGAGGAGGAGGAGGAGGAGGAGGAGGAGGAGGAGGAGGAGGAGGTGCATGAGGAGGAGGAGGAAGAGGAGGAGGAGGAGTCAGTGGGCATCCGGGGCGACCGCGCGGATGTGAGATTCGGGCCGTTCTCCGATGGCGTCTCGGGGGAGCATGGGGCCTCCGAGTCCCACAGCCGTGCGGTGACGGATTGTGCGTTGAGATCCTTCGAGGTTTCGAGGTCGCCGCACGCTCTGTCACCTCACGGGTTTGGGGCCCCCAAGCAAAACAAGGAGGGGGAGGAGTGGGAGGGGAGGGATGGAGGAAGGGAGAGGAGAGGAGGAGAGGGGGCAGGAGGGGGAGGGAGGGGGAGGGGGGAGGGGGAAGGGGGGAGGAGGAAGGGGAGGAGGAAGGGGAGGAGGGATGGAGGGGGCATGAGGAGGGAGGAGGGGGAGGAGAAGCTTCCGGCGCCTCCCGAGGCGTCCGGTGCGATGTCGCCCCCAGCGCTCCCCGGCAAGGGTGCCTCGCAGGCCGCTGCTCTTCGGCTCGGAGTCGCGGGTCGTCGTCGTCCCCCCTCGCCCTCCGCGCCTCCCTGTGGGTAGAGCAGAGGGGCGCGCGGGCCCCACTACCCTCCCTCGCTTGGCATCGCTCGGACGTGTGCACTGTTCGTGGCGAGGACCATCGATGAGCATGCTGGATCACCCTGCGGAAACATGCGTTGGAGACCGAACATGCGCTGGGAATGGATGCCCGAGCGATGGCAAGCATGCTTCATGCTTCCTCTTATAGCAGAACACACAACGGCACGCACATAAATTTTCGGAGCGCCGCGTGGATTTCCTGGCTCGTGCTGGAACCCCCTCGCCGCCCGTTGTGCGCTCCGCGCGCCAGGGATGGGGGCCCAAGAAATCAGCGCGGCCCTCCGGCAGGTTTCTTCCTGTTGTGCTTGTGCCTTCCCTGTACTTGCGCCCCCCCTGTACTTACGCCTTCCCTGTACTTGCGGCTTCCCTGTACTTGTGCCCCCCCTGTTTGTGCCGGCGTTTCTTCCTGTACTTGCGTCCTCCCCCCATTCACCCCGTCCTAGCTTCAAGTCGGGCTTGTCCCACTACAGGGGGGATATTCCAAAATAGTCAAAAAGTAGTCTGGGGACGATGTGTTGGGCATTTGTTGTGGCTATGTTTGCATTTTTTCTCGGGTGTTCTTGATTCTTCGTCAAAGCTCCCCCTGTAGGAGGACATGCCCGACCTGATCCTAGCCTTATGATGTTCTAACCTACTTTGGCCTCGATCCCCAGGAACAAGTTCGAGCACCAAAAACGAACCGAAACTCGAGGGTTGTCACGCGTCGGGGCCCGGGAGACACTCGTTCGACACTGTTTCGACACTGTCTAGATACGTTTTCCGCACTCTTCCAGGTGCTCGAAATTCTTTCTGGGATGTGGTCCTGAAGTACGATGGGAACAACATAATCTTAGCCTTCAAGCAGTGGCGAAGCGTCCTGGCGTGCCTATAGCCTTACAAACAATGCTCTGAGAACCTTTTGTGGTTCCCACGAAATGTTCTTTGAACATGTCTGGCGGAGTCCGTTTCGTTTTATCACGTCTTGTTTATGTTCTAAGAGAATTGTTTCTGTTCTTCGAACATTGTTGGGTTCTAAGAGCATTTCGTGGTAGGATTATGGGAATGCCAGGACGGTCGGTCGCTGCTCAAAGCCTCTCAGGCTCCGCGCCTCCCTCCGTCGCTGCCCCGCCGCCGTGGCGGCTGCGCCTCGTCGACCCCCTCGCCGCTTTCGCTCGCCGTCTTTCGGGCCCTCGCGCTCGGCCCCCGCTCGGTCGCCGCGCGGCGTGGCGCAAGGGAGCTTCAGGTCGGAGGGAGGAGAAGCGATACCAACACCACCAGGGCGCCCACCTCCGGCGAGGAGGTCCACGATGCCTCCCCGAGCTGGATGCTGGGGATGTCTCGAGCGAGCGGGGGGCACCACACCACCAGGGAGACTCCCCTTGCCTCCTCGTACCTCCTCGCCCTGCTGGTGTTGGTGTCGCCTTTCCTTGTTCCCATTCAGGAGGGAAAGAGACACAGACACAAGTAATCGTCGCCTCCCGGGAACATATTGGAAACTATGGGTCGGGGCCTACGAGACGGGGGTCAGTGCAAACGGGGATCGGCCAGGGCACCGGATCCTGCAGGATCCTGCGAAAGACCCCCTCTGGCTGACCCAGGTTAGCGAGCCGCTCGTGGCCGCGAGGCGGCCGCGCATATTGGCTGACCCGGGTTTGCGAAGTTTTGCGTTGCAGTTGTTTTTGTTTGTTATTGCATTGCAGTTGTTGATTTCCTGCTGACCTGGGTCTGGATTGACCCGGGGCAGAAGATCCCCGAATGGGGAATGGAGGGAAGACGAAGACCCAGAACATATAGGAAAATATAGGGGAACCCTGGGATTTGTGTTCATTTGTTTGCGCGTCCTTGGGGCCCTGTAAAGTGAGCGTCAAGTCGGGCACGTCCCTCTACAGGTGGAACAGATCCAAAAATAACAAAAGCATACTCGGCGCGAGTTTTTGACCATGCCTGACTGTTTTGGAGCATTGTTCTGCGTGTGTTTTGTTGTTGTTGCCAAGATCCGCCTGAAGGGGGACCTGCCCGACCTAAAGTTTTGCGCTTGACTCTGAGCCACGCCCACCGCAAGATACTGTTTTTGTAGGGTCTGGCGGTAACCCGGGTTATCGGGCTTTGCCCCCCCCCTCCCCCTCGCCCCCCAGGATAACCCAACCTTGCCGGTTGTGCAGATCACGGGTGGGGGGGGCGCGGGCATGTGCAGGGCTGCCCACAGCGTGTTAGGTTATCGGCGGGCCCCCCCCTCCTCCCCGCCTTTTTCGGGATAACCCTGGGCTATCGCCGATCCCCCAAAAAACGGTCTCCAGATCCCCCTTTCGCTCCTCCTTCCCAGGGCCGCCCGCGGGGGCCGCGGAGGCGACCGCGCCTCGCGCGTCGCGGCCGGGGCCGAAGCGGCTGCCCCGCTCCTGGGCGGCCGCGCAGGGGGCGCCCGGAGCGCGACGCGGAGTGCGCGCGTCTGCGCCCCGCGGGGCGCGCCGCGCAGACTTCGGAGGAGGAGCGGGCCGTTGCCGATGCCACTGCCTGCCCTCGCTCTCTTCGGGGTGTCGGCCTCCTGGGAGGCCCTCGTCGCCACCTCCGGATTCGCTTCGGAGTTCTGGTCAGAACGCACCCCAGGAGAGGTCCGGGGAGCGGCGGTATGGGTATCTTGGGGGTTCCGCAGCATCGCGGGGCGCGCTGCTCCAGGGGACGAGTGATCGCCTCCCCCGCCCGCTTGCGGAGCGAGGACTCTCGGCGTCTTGTTTGTCCGCCTTTGCACACTGTGGAGGCGCTTCTTGGCGCCTTCTTGGCCAATGTCGGGGCCATCCTGAGGCTTCAGACGCCCATGGGACGCGAAAGGGCGAAAGGCAACCAGAAACGCACCGTCGCCGCTAGCGACCGCTGGATGTGACTCCTAGTAATTACTTCGAGTAGGGGATCGACTACATAATTGATTAACCCACAGATTGTTCGGTTCGTTGACTCTGCAAGCAAAGAACGTAGAATTCTCGTAGGTCTTCAATTTTGGTGTGAATCAGTATTGTAGGAGGAGGAATTCGAGGCGACCTTTTGACGCCCTCTTGGGGCCGCCTGGGAGCTTCATGGGACCTCTGAGGGCCTCTAAGGGACCTCTTGGCCTTCGGCGGCCAGCTAGAGGCCCTCTCTTGGCAGTCGTGGGTCCCTCTTTGGGCGATTGAGGGCTGTCTTGGAGGTCTATGTGGCCGTCGTGAGGACCTCTTGGGCCATCTTCGGGCCCTCTTGGACCGTTTTGCGGGCCTTTGGGACCGCCTTGGGCGATCTTTTGGCTTCTGGGGCTGACTTGGAGCGTCGGACGTCCGAAACGGCAAGAACGCTAAACTCACTGAAACACCACATGGGGAGTAAATACTGTCGGCCTCCTGGAGGTCCTCTTGGAACCCTCTTGGGACGTCTTGGGGGCCTCTTGGGCCATGTTGGCTCCATCTGAGGCCGTCTTGGGTCCATCTTGGGGCGTCTCCGAGACATCTTTCGGCCATCTTGCGCTCTCTCGGGGCCATCTTGGTCGTCTTACATGCCTTCTTGGCCGCCTCTGACGCCATCTCCGGGCCGTCTTGGGAGGGGAGGCCAATTGAGCACAGTTTTTCCGATGGGCCAGCGGGTTTGGCCGATACCCCTCTGCATGGGAGCGCTTGAAAAGAACCAATCCATTCAAAATTCTTGCACGCCGTGCACCCCTGTGCCAGGCCAACAGGGGGCGGCGGATATAGTGGCCCATCGGCCCATTCCGCCACCGTGCCTTGGTTGCAGAAGCCTCTTGGATACCTGTGGTGTTCTGCTGAGAGGCCTCTCGGAAGTCTCTTGGAGGCGGTTTTGGAGTGTTGTTCAAGCGTCTCGGGAGCCTACCGGGGGCTTCTTGGGGGCAGCTTGGGGCCTGGTTTGGGCATCTTGGGGGCTTTTTGGGGCTTCTGGGGAGCCTCTTGTGGACCCGCTGGCGGTCTCGGGGGTCATCTCGGGGCGGAGGGCTCGATATGTCCGTTCGTGGCTTTTGGGCCGTCTGGGAGTCGTCTGGTGGGCCTCTTGGGCCGTCTTGGGTCGATCTTGCTGGCCACATGTATCCAACATATTAAACACATGTGTATATCGATGATGGGACTGTTAGGGTGTCCATTGTCGTGACATCCACAACTGGAACCCTCTCCTCGTCGCCGTCCTTGTGCTGCCCTGCTCCCTCGCGGCCCTGGCCCCGACTGGCCGCCCGCGGGGTGGGAGGGCGCCGGCGGGCCCCCCCCCCGATCGAGGCATGCCCCGCGATGCTGCCGCCGCCCCCGGCCGTGCCGGGCAAGAGCGCCGCCCAGGCCGGCTGCCGGGGGGGGGCCGTCCATCTCGATCGGGTTTCGGGAGCCTTGAGACGGGGGTCAATGCAAAGGGGGCTCAGCCAGTGCGCCAGATCTTGCAGGATCCTGCAGGGCCAGGCTCCCATTGACCCGGGTTCTGGCGCAGGATCCTGCAGGATTTTGCGTGATCCTTCGCATTGACCCAGCTTGGGTGCAGGATCCTGCAGGATCTTGCAGGATTCTGCAAGACCTGGCTGACCCGGGTCTGGATTGACCCGGCTCAGAAGATCCCCAAGTGTTGCTCCGATTCGATGTCGGCGTCGGCCGCCGCGATCCGATGCGACATCGGTTCTGGGAAGAAGCAATACGCTGTAAGCTTGAGGCGGGCCTGCCCCTCTACAGGAGGAGTGTTCAAACATAGTTTTAAACAATGGTATGGGGACGTTTTTTCTAGTATTTTCGGGTGTTGCTTCGCATCTTTTGACTTTTTTATTTAAAGGCTGCCGCCTCTGCCGCCGACCCCAAGTGATCGACGTACGTTTGATTCGTTAGTTGTCGGGGTGCTTATCGGAGTACGGCAGAAAAGGGGTTAATATGAGACATCCAGGCATGAGCCTGACTCATGATTCTCAGTTGCACTTTCGTCTCTTCTTCACCGAGCATCCTTCCCGCCATTGTGCCTAGGTTTTCGGTATGAAGCCTCTTGGTTGTTCGTTTGGATTTCGTGATTGTCTCTTCGGGGAAGCCCACACCTGAGGTGGTTCAGCCATTGTCGCCCTAGATCTTCCCTGTTTGGGCTCAGAGATGTCCTGTCAATGCTGTCTCCGATGACCCATTGGACAATTCAGTGTCGCTTGCCAGATGGACACTCGGGCAGACTGGAACCCTTCTTGTTGCCAGTCTCGGGGGAACTGGAACCCTTCTTTGTTGCCAGACCAGGGAGACTCGAACCCTCTCGGGTGCGAGTAGCACATATGTCAATCGTGTCCACTTGTGAAACGGGCGAGGGTTCTTAGCTGGGCATTGCATGAGGCGAGTTGTCCGTCCTCTGCCGATGGGAGTTTGGGAGGAAGCGACTTCACAAGCTAGTCACCCAAAGGTGTGGGCGGATTTTCCTTGCCGTGGATGTTGTGTGGCACTTCGTCGGAGGGGAGGCCCGACGTTGCCCCATCAGCCATGCAACTGGTGCTGCAGCGCGCCTGGCGCTTGCCGAAAAACATGAAATCATGCCGCCCTCAAGGCTGGCGGGTTCCGAAGTCCTGGGGCGTCGCGCCGAGTTCCCGGGAGGGGTCAGTGGCCCCTGAGAGGTCTCGCCATTTTAGGAGTCCCCTTTCCTGGCCGATTTGATGTTCGGATTCAAGTTCTGGTCCGATCCGTCGTGCGCCATTGAAATGTACATCGGTCCTATATGAGGACTCCAACGGTGAACCTCGTGCCTTCGGCGACAAAGCCAACGCAAGTAAAACGAAGACACTGCCGCTGGTGGAGACTCGGTCGAAAAATGGCGGCGGAACAGGTTCTAAGCGCGCGCGTGGTTCAAGTATATCGTATGGATGAATACCAGGTTTCCCGGGGGCGCCTCCCACCTCAAAATCATCGGGCTTCCTTTATTCATACATCCGCCGTGGCGCCTCCAAGGGGCCTCCAGACGGCCCAGGAGGCTTCCAGGAGGCCTCCAAGGCGGCCCCAGGAAACACCAAGAGGGGGGAGGAGGAAGAGGGCAGCAGAGGAGGAGGACGAGGGGCAGGCGGAGAAGGAGGCAGAGGAGGAAGGAGAGGGGGGGAGGAAGAGGAGGAGAAGGAGGATGAGGTGGGGGAGGCACAAGAGGAGGAGCAGGAGGAGGAGGAGGAGGAAGAGGAGGAGGAGGGGGGGAGGAGGAGGAGGAGGCGGAGGAGGAGGAGGAGGAAAAGGAGGAGGGGGAGGAGGAGGAGGAGGAGGAGGAGGAGGAGGAGGAGGAGAGGAGGAGGAGGAGGAGGAGGAGGGACGGTGAAGGAGGACGAGGATTGTGGGGGGTAGGTGGGAGGAGGACGACGAGGATGAGTAGAAGGAAGAGGATGAGAAGAGAGGGGGATGAGGAGGAGGAGGAGGAGGTGGAGGAGGAGGAGGAGGAGGAGGAGGAGGAGGAGGAGGAGGAGGAGGAGGAGGAGGAGGAGGAGGAGGAGGAGGAGGAGGAGGAGGAGGAGGAGGAGGAGGAGGAGGAGGGAGGAGAGGAGGAGGAGGAGGAGGAGGAGGGGGTGGTGGAGGAGGAGGAGGAGGAGGAGGAGGAGGAGGAGGAGGAGGACGAGGAGGAGGAGGAGCTGGCGGAGGGGGGGGGGGAGGAGGAGGGAGGAGGAGGAGGAGGAGGAGAGGAGGTGGAGGAGGAAAAGGAGAAGGAGGAGGAGGAGGAGGAGGAGGAGGAGGAGGAGGAGGAGGAGGAGACGGACGAGGTCGAGGAGGGGGACAAAGAGGACGAGGGGGAGGAGGGGGGGGAGAATAAGGGGGAGGATGGGAATGGAGAGGAGGGAGGAGGAACAGGAACAGGAAAACGAGGAGGACGAGGAGGTGGAGGCGGAGGAGGAGAAGGAGGAGGACGACGACGAGCCGGATAATGCGGAAGTGGGGAGGGGGGGAGGAAGGGACGGGGAGGAGGAGGGGAGGAGGAGGAGGAGGGAAGGAAAGGCACGGGGGCAGGGGGAACGCCGCCTGTGGCCCAAAACTGGGCCATCGTTGGCCGATCCAGCGTTTCTGAAACGGTCGATCGTTCAAGCTTGAACGATTCCCGCGCTGTCAGGAACCACCGCTGCGGTCGACACGTCGCGGCATTGCCGTGCGCACGTATGGGCGGGGCGCTCCAGATCTGGCCTGGCTTTTGACGCACCCTCGCTCTTGGCGGCGAGCCAGCGGAAGGCCATCGGAAGTGCAATTGCGGCGGGTCTGCTGGGGGAGGGTCGGCGGCAGCAAGCGCGGGGCCCCAAGGTTGTTGGATCCAGAGCTTCCGGAGCTGGCCGGGGTGAGGTACGGTCAAGTCCCTGAAAGCAAGAACATATAATGACAATGGTGATGGGCGTTGTTGTTCCGGGCCGTTCCTCTGTTGAAGGTCGGGCAATTTGTTCGCGGCCGAGGCTCGCCGTGGCCAGACGAGCTTGTTCGTTCCGAACCTGGCGCTCTTCATGGCAGCGCGCTGCATGCATCCAGGCCTCCCGGATGGGGCCCGAGCAAGCATGGTCGGAGGATCGCGCCGCATCGACGATGCATCGCTGATGCGGACCGAGGTGTAGCCTGATTCTCTCCACGCTGACGGCGCCGATGCGCACAAGCGGTGCATCGGCTCTCTTGGGGGGTCTCCGCCGCTGTGGGAAAACGGCGGGGGGGGGGTTCGGCCGTGGCGAGGGCGAGGCCAGGGGGCGGGGGGGTGCGCTTACAGGCGAGGCTGCTTGGTAGGTCGACCTTGCCAAATCAAGGATGCTCCTGCGTCCTGCGCGTGCCGATCCATGCCGTTGACAGTCCTTCGGAGTTGTGGCGTTCGGAAGGGTCTCGAGTCCTCTAGCGTGTCCTCTCCAATGAACACCCGCGCCTACGTGCGGACGCCCTGCGTGCCTGCGTGCGTCCCCGCCGTCGTGTTCGTCATGGTCATCGCCGTGGCTCGTCTGGCACTGGCACCGCGCGTGCGCCTCGGTCGAAAGAGGCCGGTAGTTCATGGTTCCAGACCGTATCAACGCGCTGATGAGTGCGACCCGCCCTTGCCCTCCATCGGGTTTCCGTAACCGGGCCGTATCGCGTTGTATACCGTCGGAACATATCGTAGTGCGACCCCGCCGAGGTGCTCCATAGCTGTCGGCGGCGCGCGCGTTGGCTCCGCCGCCGTGCCGTGCTTAACGAGCGCGCGGCGCCCTGCATCTCTGCCAGCGTGATGGGGGGCAGGTACTCCCAGCCGTTGGCGGCGGGGCGTCGTTGGGTATCGAGGACGTCATGGGCGGTCTAGACCTTCGTCCCTGTTCCCAAGGTCGGATTGGGCATCATTTTTGATACCGGCGGCCTCCTACGGAGCTCATACTTTAGAGGCAGCGCGTGCGCGACTCTTTCCGGGATGCGCCAACGGTCGATCGCCCGGGCGCGTTTCTTCCGTCGCCGTCGTTTGCGCGCGAGCCGGCGACGCCGACTTTCGCGCCATCGCCGCGTCCCAACGCGAAATCGGTCATAGCCATGTCCTTTTTGACATATGCGTAGTCGCCCCACACTCGCGGCCGTTTCAGCTCATTCGCTCGCCTCCAGAACGCTCGCGTTCGCGCTTCCCCCGCCAGCGCGCAGTGTCTTCTTCGGGGGTGCTTTGAGCATTGCTTTTCCTCTGCGTTGCCCCTCTGCCTGAATCCGTCCTATGGCATCGAGACGTGTTAGACCGCATGTGCTGCCAAGTCCAATGTGAGTGGCTGTGGCCCATCACCAGACGCCGAGATTCAGGGGGAGTTCAGAACCCTGGAACCAGACAGGTGTTTCTGGGTTCGCGACATCGCGACGCACTTCGCGGCATTCCGCGCTCGCCAAAAATCTGCAACGGTGCCAGTGATCTGTTTGCATGGTACTTCACGTGCAGTCTGGCAGACTCATCCACCTGGCAGACTGGCGCGCCGCAGAGTCTCGACAGTTGTGGTCGGACCCGGACGAGTGGGCCACGCGTCCACGCTACTTCGCAGAATGGGTAAGTTTTTTCCCAACACCTTGTTCTTCCCGCAAATTGAGCCGCTCCTGTCGGTCCCGCGCGTTCACCCGCTGCAGCATTTGTCGCGGTGCCCTAGCACGGTCTTTCTGTGTGGGGCACGCGCGCGGGCGAGTCTTGGTGTCAGTCGCTTTCGAGCGACAAGCGGGTTCGCCCCCGAAATCATGTCAAAATGACAGTCTCACGCGCCGGGGAAAGCCTAAAAGGGCTTCCGTCTGCCGGATCCTCCCTCCACTTTCTCCCCCTTCCTTCTCGCATCGACGCGCTGCCCCGGCTCCCTATGACGTCCTCCGCTGGCCTGGGTGGTGCACTCAGGTCGCGGGGGGGG